AGGATGCCTGGAAAGGTATTTTAGGCAAGTTAGGTGCTTAGGCAAAAGGACTAGACAGAGGCTGACTGGCTTTCTCCCCTAGGTATACAATCTCTTGGGTTTGCCTGAGAGGCCTATGGGCAGGATCTTTCTCCTACTTCTGGATGATGGGCATCTCCTGGTCCAATTTCCTTTCTTTTACAGAGGTCAAGTCTTTGGCCTGATGGTCTGAGACTTCTACCCCTTCACTCTGCAGTGCTCTAATGGGGAATAAGGGCTTTCAATACTTCCAACCACGTAGGGAGAGAAGCCATTGGCTGAAAGTAAATGGGTAGAGATTCTCAGGTTGAGAACCTAGAGGACCATCACTCTAAGTGAGTATCAGTTACGGGAGGACATTATAAATAACATCGTTAAAGTTCCTTCCTTCCGTTTGCTATAGGGTGCCAGCAGAGAGAGAGAGGAAGTGAGCAATCAGCCATTGAGGGGATGGCCATGCCATAATCCCTTCTCTTCCATCCTCCTCTTAGAATTTTGGGCACGCACGCGCCCAGTGATTTTTCAAACTGCCGTGACTTGAGCCATGCAGTCAGCATGTGGGACCTAGCTGCCTTAACCTCCACGGCACTTCCTGGCTCCTTCCTTACCTTCTTTCATGAGAGAAAGGAAGAGAGGGAGAAAGCACCAACAGGGTTCCAACACCACAATCTACCCCTAGCCTCAGCCAGCCCTGGATCATGGGCACGTGTGCCTGGCAGACTCAGGAAGATCTCTGGTCTTGGACCAGGAACCTTCCCATGTGGGTCAGCCTTGCAGAGTGGTGCGTTTACACTGTTACACCATCTGGCTACCCAATAACACTTTGAAGTGTATCAGTAAGAACTCTGATCATGGATAATTAAAATGTGAACTAAAAAAGTGAGAGTTTGGTTTGACTAAAGTAAAATCAGCTATTTAAGTTCACTATTTGTCTCATTACCATGAGACAAAAGTTATATGGAATTGTGTCAGTCAAGCATAATTCTTCAATTTCAAACTCTGCCTTCAGATTTTAGTGTATGATGAAACAGAAGGCAAGACAAAGATCCGAAGGACCCAGCTCCCTTGCGTATTAATTCTAACACTGGTATCTTACCTTCTCTGTGGCTATTTCTGCAACTGTAAAATAATACTTGCCTCATTTATCTACGGGGTCGATGTGAGAATCAAGAGACAACATATGTGGAAATGCTTTGGCGACTGCAAAATGTTTTATGCACAGAAGGCGCCATGACCATCAGCTTTCGTAGGACGGCTGGCTGTGCAGTCCTGGCCATGGCTGCCATCTGTCCTCTTGCCCTCCTCCTTGCTTATTCGGGTGTCCCAGAAGAACAGCTTTCCCCAAGCACCTGATAATATTTGTCACATACTGAATCTTAAGAGGACATGCAGAAAGTAAAATATAGCTAAACCCTGTCTTTTTCTGAAGAAAGAAGCTGATCATCATGCATGAAATTCCTTCTCACCAAGCCCTGGGAGAAAGAAAGGATAATGGTACCAGCAGCGGCATAATGGTTATGTTGCTGGACTTCCACGTAGTCGACTGGGGTTCGAGGCCCAGACCTGGTGGCTTAAACTCACGCTGGGCACGTGTGCTTGTGTGCCCAAGATCCCGAGAGAAGAATGGAGGGGAAGGGATTACAGCGTGGCCATCCTCCCTGGGGGGTGATTTATTGCTTTCTGTCTCTCTGTCTCTGTCTTTCTGGTGAGCGCGTGCACCCTATAGCAAAAATCTCACCAAAAAAAAAAAAAAAAAAAAAAGAAAAGAAAAGAAAAGAAAAGAAAAGAAAAGGATAGTGACAAGGCTTATTTCCTCCAGGTAGTTATTTTATTTTATAATTAAATTAAGTTCTAGGGGCCAGCTGGTGGTGTGGCGGCTGGATCCCACACGGCTAACTCTGGAGTTTGAGCCCTAGACCTGGCAGCTTGAGAAATACACTCGAGGATGGAGAAGGGATTGTGATGTGGCCACCCCTCTTGGGAGGTATTTTCTCACTTTCCCTCTCTGTTTCCATGTCTCTCCCTGGTGAGCCCACACATCTAAAACTAAAAAAAAGTAGTTTTGGGATTTTTCTTGTATAAGGCACTGGACTGGGTTCTGTGGGATGCAACATGGTGTATCTATTGTAGATTTTTTAATGGCTAGAGGACACATGTGCTCAAGAGAGGAGAGAGAGAGAGACCCCCCAATAGGATATTTCACACCACAATCTTTTTATCGATCCTGTCAGAATTCTAAGTAGCACACACGTTCCCAGATTTTTTTTTTTTCTTCTAGGGCACATGCGTTCACCAGAAAGAGACAGAGAGAGAAGGAAGGTAAGAAATCACCCCTTAGGGAGGATGGCCATGCTGCAGTCCCTTATCCCTTCTCCTCTATCCTCTTTTGATTTTGGCAATGCACACACACAAGCCTTTCATGTTTTTATTTCTTTTGAGAGGTTTTTGCCTTAGGGCATGTGCACTTGCTAGAGAGACAGAGACAGTGGGAAGGAAAATGAGAAATCATCCCCCTAGGGGAGATGGCCATGCCACAATCCCTTCTCCATTTTCCTCCTGGGATCCTGGGCATACATGTACATGTGCCTGGCATGATTTTGAACCCACCAGGTCCAGGACTTGAAACACGGTTGGCCATGTGGGACCACATGCTGGTCCCATGCTCATCTTTTTTTTTTTTTTCATAAAGAGCTTTTTGCTATAGGGCCTTGCACTGGCCAGAGGACAGAGAAAAACAGAGAGAAGAAAGGGAGAAATCACCCCCTAGAGGGGATGACCACTCCACAATCTCTTCTCCTGTTCTCCTCTCAGGATTTTGGGTACACACACACATGTGCTGGCATAAGTTTTAAGCTGCCAGGTCCGAGACTTGAACCATGGTTGACTACGTGGGAGTCCAGTGATGTAACCACTGTGCCATCTGCTAATATCACTTATCATTGATAGATTTTATTTTTTTGAGGTTTTCGCTATAGGGCACCTGTGCTCGCCAGAGAGACAGAGAGATAGAAAGCGAGAAATCACCCCCCAGGGGGCATGGCCACGCCACAGTCCCTTCTCTTCCATTCTCCTCTTGGGATCTTGGGCACACATGCACACACGCCCGGCATGAGTTTAAGCTGCCGGGTCCAGGACTTGAACCGCGGTCGACTACGTGGGAGTCCAGCGACATAGCCATTACGCTAACTGCTGGTATGCAGTTAACCAGTTTTTTAAACTGTTGGGTCTGGGACTTGAACCATGCAGTTAACCACATGGGATCCAGTCACCTTAACCTCCACATCACCTGCTGCCTCTGCCTAGTCTTTTTCAAACCAAAGGGCCAGGATCTCAACTGTGGTTCACCATGTGGAATCTGGCTCCTGATGCACTGTGTTTAACCACTGCGCTATAGAGCTGGCCCACACATGGTATGTGTAAAGGAATCTCAGCTTTGGAGGCCAGCAGGTGGTATGGTGGTTAGGGTGGTGGGCTCCCACATGGCTGACCATGGCTTGAGTCCTGGCTTCAGCAGTTCAAAAATCCTGCTGGGCGTGTATGCATGTGTCCAAAATCCCAAGCAGAGAAGGGATTTCTATGTGGCCATCTCCCTTGGGGAGTGATTTCCTACTTTTCCTTTCTGTCTCTCTCCAGTGAGCATACAGGTGAACAGCCTTCCCCAAGCATATGTGCCCTTTCCCTGAGCGGATGTGCCCTTTGACAAAAACCTAAAAAAAAAAATAAAAAAAGAATCTCAGCTTTGGAGTCTGGCAGATTTGGATTCAAATACAGACTCGGCCACTGACTTAGCTGTGCCACCTGGACAACTTAACTTCTCCAAGTTTCAAATTTTTCTTCTGTTGGAGGTATGACATATCTTACAACCATATCGAAAGGGTTTAACAGGAGATGTGGATGCAGAGACAGTGACCAACAAAAAGGTGCAGAGAGTGAGAGATGATGTCTTCGAAAAACAGTGAGAATGTTATTTTTGGCAGGACTCAAGTAGCAGCTGAATGATAGGTGAAGAGTGCTCCGGAAAGCATTTCTGTTCAGTCCTAAGATCACCTCCGTTTCTAAGGTCTTAGAAAAAAACAACATCCAACTTAAAGAGAGAAAAATTCTATGTAAGTTCAAACATCAAACGGTGAAGACGAGGTAATAGAGTCTGTGTTGCACAGCTAAATGAATCAAGAAAAAGGAGGCAGGTAGTGATTGGTTCCAAAATGTCACTGAAAATCCTATTTCAGGTTTATTGCAGTCTAGTTATTTTAATGTTTCCCTTGGTAATCATCAAGATGGTTGCTGCTAAAAAGCACTGTTAGAAAACTGCTTTTTCAAATACGGAACTTGTTTTGGTTGAAAAGAAATACAGAAAGGGTGAATTTGTGGGTTGGTACTTCTTGTGCTCTGATCTGCTGTAGAGACAACAGGGGCCCGTGCTATTAAGCAACTGTGATGAATTCTAGGTTCTGAGGCTTTCTGCTGCCTGAGCTATGTGGCCAGCAGCAGGTCTCTAACTTCCCTGGGCTGAGACTCCTCGCTGACTGAATGAGGTCACCACCTCCCTGTCAGGTAGTGCGTGTTAAACATTTCCAACTCCTAAGATTAAGGCCAGTTGCTACTGGGATTATATTTATTTATAATTAAGCAACGCTAAGCAGCTCACATGCAAGTTATTCAGGAGGAGAAAGGCAAATGTTGTCTCAGGGAAAATGTACTAAATGATTTTCCTAATTGTGTGAGTTGGACTCTCCAGGGTCCCACAAGGGTGAACAAAGTGCACCTCTTAGTCTTCCAAGTGTTTCCCTATTGTGGTTCACGGAAAATCGGAACAGATTTTGATAAGAAAATTTGTGTACTTCTGTAAAGACATTTATCCCTGAAGTAAAGCAAATCTACTTGCTTAGGAGAATTGGTTTGCAGACTCTCTTGTAAAAAAGTAATTTGACCTCTTCCCTCTATCCCAAATCCTGAAAACTTTGAAAGGATAAAGACACCAATTTGGAGCGCTTTCAAAGGATTTATTTGTTACAAAATTGCTGAGCCTACTAATGAGATGAACTCCAGGTACATATGTTTAATAGGATTTTGCCCCTGCTTTATTTTCACAAGTGCTGCAACATTTAAAAAGCAATTCTTTTTTGCCAGTATTTGGCATGTCTAGAACAGTTAGAAAAAGAATCTTTAGAATTAGATGTTTAATAACAGAAAAAAACCTGAACATTTAAAAATTCCTCATTTAAACAGGTCCTGAGTTGAAATCACATTCAGCATAAAGAGCTGTTTTAGGGCAGAAATGCTGTATTTTATAACTACGGATCCCGACTTTGGACTTGACAGATTTCCAGGCACTGTACAAGGACAGCTAGGTGCCATTCAGTTGGCCAATTCTGGCATGCGTCTTACCTGGCTTGTGACAAATTTTAAGTATCTCTTAAATCCAAGAAAGGTTCTCTGAGACCAACTATCTTAATCTGATTTGCAATACTTTTTAAACAAACAAACAAACATGTTTCCTTCTGGAACACACATCTGAGTATCTGTTGCCTGTGGTTAGATACAGAGGAGACAGAGAAACCAAGTGTGGATGTGAATGACCCATTCAGTGATGTAGCTGCGAATCTCTGGGCGGCTATGTAAGTGTAAGAAAGTGCCTTGCTGGCTCTGCACTCGTTGAGCACCAGAGGTGACCATCCAGGCAACATCAACCAGAAGAGGGAGTGAACCCCAGCAGCTGCTCGATGGGTTTAAACCGCCACTCATCGGCCTCCAGCTCTTCTACCAAACCAGCTAGTTTTTCCATCCGAGCAACCTGCTGATCTGTAAAGAGTCAAGAAGGCAATATAATACAAAAATGCATTTCCCAACAGATTGACAGTCACCACTAACATAATGATTTAAAAATAATTTTTATTTAAAATAATTTTTAGATGGATCTTCTTCCCTTAATATTCTAGTAAGGTCTTGTCCTATGTTGGTCAGAAGCCTTAATCTTCCTTTTTTTTTTTTTTGCCAGAGGGGACGAGGGGACTTGCTCATGGTGGGGGCTGGGGCCAAAGAAAGCACATTACCCAATGGAGGATGGCCATGCAGTAATCTTTTCTCCTTCATTTCCCCCTTCTTTTGAGATTTTGGCCATGAACACACATGAACCTGGCATGTTTTTCAAGTTACTGGGTCTAAGATTCAGATGGCATGATTAGCCATATGAGATCCAGCTGCCTTAACACCAGGCCACAGGCTGATCCAATTCTTTATCTTTCTTTTTTTTTTTTAAAGAATTATTTCCTTTATTTTATTTATCATTATTGTTATTTTTAATTTGACCAGAGCAAGACAAAGAGAGAGAGAAAGAGAGAAAGCAAGCTGCCAGGTCCGGGACTTGAACAGTGGTCAGCCATGTGGCAGTCTAGTGCCCTTAACGACCATGCCACCTGCCCCTTTCTTTTTTTTTTAAAGAGAGATTTTTGGTATAGAGCATGTGTGCTTGCCAGAGAGATAGAGAGAAAGAGAAATAGAAAGTGAGTAATTACTCAGAGTGGGGGATGACCATGCTGCAATCTCTTCTACTCAATCCTCCTCTTGGAATCTCGGGCATGCATGCACACACACCCAGCATGAGTGTTAAGCCGCCAAGTTTCCAGAACTCGAACCGCGGTCGACTATGTGGAAGTCCAGTGATGTAACCATTATGCCATCTGCTGGTCCCCTTTTTCTTTTTATAAAAAATAATTTTGTTATAGAGTGCACATGCTTGCCAGAGAGAGACAGAGAAAAAGTGAGAAAGCATCTTCTAGAGCGGATGGCCACAACACTATCTCTTCTCTTCCATTTTCCTCTTGGGATTTTGGGCATACATGTACACATGCCTGTATGTTTCCCAAGTCACTGGGTCCAGGACTCAAACTGTGTAGTTCGCTATGTGGGATCCACTACCTTAGCCACCATGCAACTGGCAGGCCTGGCCCAATCCACCCCCCCCATTATTATTTAAATTTATTATTATTATTTTTAAATTTGGTATAGGGCACATGTACTCAACAGAGAGAGACAGAGGGAAAGTGAAAAAGTAAGTCACCAGGTCTGGGACTTGAACCACGGTCAGTCATATGGGACTATGGGACCACCATGCCACCTGCTGGCCCCTGGCCCAATCCTTTTTTCTTTTTGGAGAGATTTTCACTATAGGGCGCGTGCACTTGCCAGCCAGACAGAGAGAGACAGAGAGACAGAAAGCGAGAAATCACCCCCCAGGGGAGATGGTCACGCTGCAATCCCTTCTCCTCCATTCTCCTCTTGGGATCTTGGGCACGCATGCACACGCACCCAGCGTGAGTTTTAAGCCACCGGGTCCGGGACACGAACCGCGGTAGACTACATGGGAGTCCAGCGACATAGCCATTACGCTAACTGCTGGTTCCCCAATCCTTTTTAAAAAAGCATTTTAAATTAAGTTTACTAATTCATTTCTTCCATGATTGAGAGAATTGGAGAAGAAAAAGAGAGACATAAGCATCTCCAATTGGGCTGTCACATTACTATTCCCTCCAGCATCAGTTAGCCAGATCTTGGACATATGTGAACTAAGCACTAGGAGACCTTAAACTTAAACACTTGACCCTTCCACATGGGTCAGCCTCACAGAGTGTTGTGAACTGTGTGCCAAGGTATGGTTCCAGTAGACATAATCTTAAAATAAAAATAAAAATAAAAATGTAGGTAGACCAGCCCCATAGTCTAGCAGATGAGGTAGCTGGATTCCACATGGCTGACTATTGTTCAAATTCTGGTCTTGGTGGCTTGGAAAAAACACCAGGTATGCATACCTGTATGCCCCAAATCTCAGCAAGATGGGAAAATGGAGGAGAAAGGATTGTGGCATAACCACACCCTTTACTGGAGAGTGCTTTCTCTGGTGAGCAATTAAAAATAAAGTAAAGGGAACCAGCAGTTAGCGTAATGGCTATGTCGCTGGACTCCTACGTAGTCGACTGCGGTTCGCATCCCGAACCCGGTGGCTTAAAACTCACTCCGAGTGCGTGTGTGTGCGTGCCCAAGATCCCAAGAGGAGAATAGAGGAGAAGGGATTGTGGCGTGACCATCTCCCCTGGAAGGTGATTTCTCGCTTTCTGTCTCTAAGTCTCTCTGTCTGTCTGGCAAGCACATGTGCCCTATAGTGAAAACCTCTCTCCCCCACCCCCCCAAAAAAAGTAAAATAAAATAAAAGAATATTCATTCTCCATTCATCTTCACTGCCTCCCCTGCCCCCAGTGTTTTATTAAAAATTTTACTTTTTCTTTGGGACCAGCAGGTGGTGTAATGGTTATGTTGTTGGACTCCCACATAGTTGACTGCAGTTCAAGTCCTGGACCCGGCAGCTTAAACTCATGCCAGGTGCATGTGCATGCATATGTGCCCAAGATCCTGAGAGGAGAATGGAGAAGGGACTGTAGCGTGGCCACCCCCCTGGGGAGTGATTTGTTTTCTATCTCTTTGTCTCTGGTGAGCACAAACACCCTATAGCAAAAGTTTCTCTAAAAAAAAAAAAAAAAAAAAAAAAAAAAAGGGAAAATATGTACTTTTTCACTGCTTTTGAATTCATGGTTAAAAGTTGAAGTCTTCGAGCCAGCAGATGGTGTGGTGTTGGGATGCTAGATCTCATATGGATGACTCTGTAGTTTGAGTCCTGGATTTGACAAACGGCTGAAAATCACACTGTGGGGGCCAGTAGATGGCACGGTGGTTCACGCACTGGACTCCCACATGGTCAACTACAGTTCAAGTCCCAGACCTGGCAGCTTGCTTTCTCACTTTTTCTCTCTGTCTCTTTCTGGTGAGTGCATGTGCCTGATAGCAAATTAAAAAATAATAGTAATAATAAATTTAAAAAATGAAAAAGGAAAAATGACGCTGGGCATGTGTGCATGTGTGCCTAAAATCCCAAGTGGAGAATGGAGAAGATATTATGGTGTGGTTATACCCCCTGGGGAGTGATTTCTCACTTTCTCTTTCTGTCTCTCTCACCAGTGAGCACACATACCTATGGCAAAAAAACCCCGAAAACCAAAAAAACCCCAAACTCATAGAAAGTTGAAGCTTTCCAGATCAAAATAAACATTTGCTTAATCACTCTGCATATTTTTAAATAACATATTTTTCTTTCCTGTAGGTATTATCCTACCAAGGATAAGCTCTGCATCTCCTTCCTTTTTAAAAAAAAAAAAAAACATTTATTTAATTTTATTTATTCATTCATTTGTTTTATTTGGCCAAAGAGAGACACAGAGCGAGGGACAGAGCGAGAGTGAGGTGGCGGGGAAGGGAGAGGGAGGGAAAGTGAGAAAGCCAGGTTGTGGGAGTCCAGTGCCCTTAACCACCATGCCAACTGCTGGCCCCATCATTATTATTTCTTAATTTGACCAGAGAGAGAGAGAGAAAGAGAAAGGGAAAGTGAGAAAGGAGACTTCAGGTCTGGGACTTGAACCGTAGTTGACCATGTGGGAGTCTAGGACTCTTAACCACCACACCAGCCCCTGTACCTCCTTTCTTCAATCACATCATAGCAGACTGAGTGACCAGGTTTCTTAACAGAAGACAACTTCTGTGCTCTATTCTTTTGAACCTGAGAAGTTTCTCAGTATGTTCAAAATAACTTTTTAGGGACAATGTATGGCTTGGTGAATCTGCGCAGTTTAAGTCCTGAACCAAGAAGCCTGAGAAACACAGGGCATGTGTGTACACAGAATTTCAAAAGATGGGAGAGATGGAGAAGTGACTATGGCGTGACCATTCTCCATGGGGAGCACTCCCCCTTCCATCTCTTCAAGTAAGCACAAGTGCCCTTTGGCAAATTAAGTGAAATTATCACATTTTCAGTATAGGCCCTATTCTTTTTTTTTTTTTCCACTATAGGGTGCGTGCGCTTGCCAGACAGACAGAGAGAGACATAGAGACAGAAAGCGAGAAATCACCCCCCAGGGGAGATGGTCACGCTGCAATCCTTTCTCCTCCATTCTCCTCCCGGGATCTTGGGCACGCATGCACACGCGCCTGGCGTGAGTTTTAAGCCACCGGGTCCGGAACGCGAACTGCGGTCGACTATGTGGGAGTCCAGCGACATAGCCATTACGCTAACTGCTGGTTCCCAGGCCCTATTCTTAAAAAAAAAAAAAAAAAGTGAGGCTACTAGGTTGTGTGGTGGTTAAGGTGGCTGGATCCCACATGAGGTTCAAGTCCCAGACCCAGAGTCTTGAGAAACATGCTAGGCACATGTGTGTGCTCAAAATCCCAAGAGGACAATGGAAAAGAAGGAACTGTGGCATAGTTATCCCTCTTTGAGGATTCTTTCTCATGTTCCCTCTCTCTGTCTCTGTCTCCAGTGAGCACATACACCCTAAGCAGCGGTCCTCAACCTTTCTGGTACCAGGGACCAGCCTCATAGAAACCATCTCTCCACAGACCCAGTACTGATGGCAGGGAAGATGGTTTTGGGATAAACCAAGCACACTAGATCCACTGTGCACCCCCCTTTCTACCACTACCACACTGTAATACACAATGAAACAATCACAACAACAGGGCTCACACTCCCATGAGAATCTAGTACTGCTCCTGAGCCAACAGGAGGCAGGGCCCAGGCTACATGCAAGAGATGGGGAGTGGCTGCAAACCAGAGGAAGCTTTGCTAGCCTGCCTACCACCCACCACTCCACTGCATCTGGAAATGGGACAGGGCACCCAACACGCCATGGACTGGCACTGGTCTGCCTGGGGCTGGGGGGCCCTTCCCCCATAGCAAAGAGAAAAGAAGGGACCAGCAGGTGGTGTGGTGGTTAAGGTGCTGGACATTCCCACGTGGCCAACCACAGTTCAAGTCCCGGACCTAGTCTGCTTTCTCACTTTCCCTCTTTCTTTCTCTCTGTCTGTGTCTCTCTCTGGTCAAATTAAAATAAAATAAATGAATAAATAAAATTAAATAAATAATTCTTTAAAAAAAGAGAGAAAAAGGAAAAGAAAAGTGTTCAATCTCCATGCCACAGTGATTTGTGGTCTAAAATCCTAGACTTAGAGGCGATTGAAGCTTTCCTCCCTACATAATGCTTTTTAATGGAGAAGCAGTCTGCTGGGGGAATAAAGTTATAGTTACCTAATGCATAAATGAAGGCTTGGAGAGGCCCAATAGAACAGAAAGGAGTATTTAGGACCTTAGGGTCCAGATAGAACATAAAAATCTACATAAATACTTGAAGATGATGGTGGTAGCTAGTAGAAAACAGCAAAAGGAGAGGAAAAGGCAATTCACAAGGAGCGGGAAGTACAGACTCCTCTGTTGAAACAACCCTTTCGACTTAAACTTTAAGCCTTAAGACGGACATTATGTCTGGATTGAAACTGCAATGTTCTTTAATTTAGGAAGTACATTTAAATAGTCTTGCTGAGTTTGGGGGTTTTGTCACAGCATAGTGATCTTTCAGAATCCCCCTATCGCACCCTCCAGTAAATTTATTCTCATAGTCAAGTACACAACACTCGTGTCCTTACCATGTTTCACCTGTTTAAGTGTGGATGCTACTTGATAGCTGAAAACAGATTCACAGAGGAATCTCTCAGAGCCATCTGCAAACAGAAGAGGAAAACGTTTTAATCCCTAAGATTTTTATGGCTTCTGATAAACCAAGTAAACTTATCCATTCTTCTTCCTGCTTCTTCATCCAAGCTCTAATGTTCAGTGTTTACAAAGAAGGCTTCAGTTTAAAACACTGCTCTGCTATGAAAGCTATTTCTTCTATATCTAGAATATTAAAATAGACCCTCTACTTGTTTAAGAGTTTAAAAATAGTGTTTAAAAAAACAAAAACAAGAAACCGCAGTCCGATGTTCTGGTCAGCATTCTCCACCCCCAACCTGACGGTTTCTTAATGTTCTCCTGTTCCCTATGTGAGGCAAGCACTGGCAGCTGACACATTTGGCCGTGTGGCCCCTGTGCTATCAAACTACAAATGGTACACCAAAACTCCAAATCGTTTTCATTCTAAAAAATCAACCCGAGGGGAAACAGTTGTTGATTTTTAATTTATCAAATTATATCACTATGACTATCACAAAACACTGCTGGGAAATTTTCATTCTGTAAACACAATTGTAACCTTGATTTTCCAACTGAACCAAAACACAGCAGTTGGGATGACGATACGAGTATGGTGCAAGTTCAGAAACTAGCAGTGTAGTGGTGCCAAGAACGTCCAACAGAAGGTTATTAACTCGGTCACCAGAGTACTTAGAAGATAACTGTGAAACACAAGCAGTGTGTGTTACTCCTGGCCAGGAAAGGGCTGATACAGCAAAACAAATTCTCAAAGACATAGAGCTCATGTAGGAAAAATTGATTTTTAAAAGGGCAGAAACCAGTTGGGACATACATCTTATTACAAAATTTCAAAAACAAATGGAGAAAGGGAACACAGCTGTCTCCTTTTAGGCAGTAGTACGTTCTTGCTAGTAGTAGGCTCCACTATGTGTTAAGTATTCACTCATCAATCATGGGCCGGTGTGTCTGCCACGTCTAACAACATGCTGGCCTTCTGCTCATTTTCACACAAGGCAGATCTTATTTCAGAAGGCATGGTTAACCATTAAGAAAAACGACAGATATTGTAGCCAAATGGTGTGAATGCACAACTGAGAAGGCTTCCTTACAATGTTATCTGAAATTGATGAGACAAAAAAAAAAAAAGACAATTCTTGCAATGTATACTCTTTAGGGAGAGGGTTATATTTTACAAATGCAAACTTCTTTTCTATATAAAATGTAATATATGGGATATGATCCTGTCCCTTCACACCTCTGTTTCTCTGGATGTAAGTCATGTGTGAGTAGATCATCTAAACTGAGTAAAAAAATATAATTTCCAATGAACTGAATATTATATTGACTGTCCAATTTAAAGACCTAAGCAAACTAGTGACATCATTATTTTATTTATTTTTTAATGATGAGGTGTGTGCGAGAGAGAGAAAGGAAGAGGGACAGCAGAAGCACCTCCTATCCCCAATGGGGCCTGGTCATACCACAATACTTTTTCTTTTTCTTCTTCTTTTTTCTTTTTTTAAATGTTCGCTTTTTTTTTTTTAAACTTTATTTATTCATTTAAATTTGAACAGAGTGAGAGAGAGAGAGGGAAAGTGTGAAAGCAAGTTGCCAGGTCCAGGACTTGAGCCACGGTCAGTCATGTGGGAGTCCAGTGCCCTTAACCACTATGCCACTTGCTGGCCCCTTTTTCTTCTAATTCTATTAATAATTCTCCATCCCATCACGATCCCAGGCATGTGTAGGCATGCCCAGTGTGTTTCTCAAGCCGCCAGAATGGGGACTCGAATCCTGGTAGGCCATATGGGATCCAGCTTCCTCTGTGTAGCACCTAACCTCAGAACTATGGTGTTGGCCAGAGTTTTTATGTTTTTACTTTTTTTAAAAAAAAATTTTTTTTATTTAACTTTAGGGCTGGCCAGAGTTTTTATGTTTTTACTTTTTTAAAAAAAAAATTTTTTTAATTTAACTTTAATTATTTATTTTAATTTGACCAGTGGGGGACAGAGCGAGAGCAAGTGAGCGAGAGAGAGAAACAAAGTGAAAAAGCAAGTGGGACTCAAACGGTGGTTTGCCATGCTGGAATACAGAGCCCTTAACTACTACTACACCACCTGCCATCTCCTTACTTTTTTTTTTTTTAAAGAATTATCTAATTTTATTTGTTATTATTTATTTTTCAATTTGACCAGAAAGAGAGAAAGGGAAAGCAAGAAAGCAAGTTCCCAGGTCCGGGACTCAATCTGCAGTCAGCCATGTGGGAGACCAGTGCCTTAACCACCATGACACCTGGTGGCCCGTTTTCTATTTTTTAGATAATAGCAATAAGCAACTATGAATTCTACTGTGGGGAACATCTGACACAATGATGCAATTTACTATAGCTCCTCTGTATAAATGATACACTAACATTCATTAGCCTACTCATATGCTTGCTTAAAGAGTCCAATAATTTAAGTTTTATTTTAGAAGGAGCAAAGCACAGAGAATTAGAACTTACTTCTCAGGTGGTTTGATCCTAAACTTTAGGATCTCAAACAAATCACTGGAATTATGGGCTAGAAAGATCAGGCCAAGATGTAGAGTGAAGTACTACCTCCCACTTAAGTTTAACCACAGATGCTATTAGGATAAAATGCTTAAATTACTTGCATATTTTCCTAGGTAATGAACTTCAAAGTAAAAAGATGTAAATTACTCTTTCAAAAAGGCAACCACCTATCACTCTGCCACACTACGTATCTATGGAACACACTTGTGCTGATCTGTAGCTCTGTATGAACCACCAAGTCCACTGCTTCTTAGCCACATCCTAGTAGATGCGGTATTTGTACCTATCTAAACCCTGGAATTTCTCCAGAGAGGAGTCGGCTTGGGGCAATCTGTCTTCCATTTAGAAATTGTAATCAAACCCTTTGTAACACACCAAGTAGCAATACATCAGCTTTCCTCTTAAGGGACAAGCAAAGGTTATAAATAGTGAAAAGTTCAGTAAATTGCCGAAATCTAACACCACTGCCAACTCCAATCAGTAGGATGCTAACAAATTCATTTAAGGAGTATTACCTCATAGCAGGAAACTAGACGATGCCAGATAATTTTACTTCAGTGGCCTCGATGTCACTAACATGTACCCACTTCTGGGCTAGATGGCAGTCTCCAATTTGCTCACTAAGAACTGAGTGAGGACAACTTTAGACAAGGGTAAGAGAAGGCTGAAAAGTGCTGTATGCTGTTTATATGAGGTGTCTGTTATCAGAAGGAAAATGAGCCAAAAAGTTAATGCACAAGGTTAACTATAGGTTATATGGGTTTATAATGCTATTAGTCTGTTAGAAAAGTCATGACATGGGGTGGCAGGTGGTGTGGTGGTAAAGGGTGCTGGACTCCCACATGGCCAACCATAGTTTTTTTTTTTTTTCTTCACTATAGGGCGTGTGCGCTCGCCAGACAGAGAGAGACATAGAGACAGAAAGCGAGAAATCCCCCCCCAGGGGGGATGGCCACGCCGCAATCCCTTCTCCTCCATTCTCCTCTTGGGATCTTGGGCACGCATGCACACACGCCTGGTGTGAGTTTTAAGCCACCGGGTCAGGGATGCGAACCGTGGTGACTACATGGGAGTCCAGCGACATAGCCATTACGCTAACTGCAGGTCCCCGCCAACCATAGTTTGAGTCCTGGATCTGGTGGCTTGTTTCTCACTTTCCATCTCTCCTGCTCTCTGCTACTCTGTTCCTCTCTGGTCAAATTAAAACAAATAAATTAAATAATTCTTTTTTTAAAAAAAAGTATGATAAACCTTAAAAAAAAAGTCACGACACATTTTTGCATAGAAAAACAGGAAAAATATATCATGACTTTTCCGACAACCTAATAGATTTTGGATGGTGCAACATCACTTTGAACTTGTTAGGATTATAAACTGGGGACCAGCAGATGGCCTAATGGTTTTGTCGTTGGACTCTCACATAGTCCATCGTGATTAAAGTCCTGAACCCGGAAGCTTAAAACTCAAGCCAGGCGCGTGTGTGTGCATGTGTTCAAAATCCCAAGAGGAGAATGGAGGAGAAGGGATTGTGGTGTAGCCATCCCCCTGTGAGGTGATTTGTCACTTTCTGTCCTTCTGTCTCTCTAATGAGCACAAACGCCCTATAGCAAAAATCTCTCTAACAAAAAGATTATAAACTGCTCCAAACCTTGATTTGTGACTGCTTTTGTTCTTTATTACTCACAGGAAACTATTTACTACTCTATTTTCATGTTCTATTGGGTCTTGAAAAGTCATAAGTATTTTTCTGTTTTTCTATACAAAAATATGTCAAGACTTTTCAGACAACCCTATATTTAACTAGTCTAAGAAAAATGGTCAGGTACATGTACATCAGATTAATTATATAACCCATACACCTATAAGCATGGCAGAAAAATGCTTCCAAACCTAACATCCTTGCTAACTCACATTTAGGGAATTATCTTTATTTAATTTTATTATTATTATATTAAATTTGCTATAGGGCACGTGCCCTCACCAGAGAGAGACAGAAAGAGGGGGAAGTGAGGAAGTAAGCACCAGGTCCAGGACTCAAACAGTGGTCAGCCATGTGGGAGTCCAATACCTTAACCACAATGCCATCTACTGGCTCCTCAATTTAATATTCTCTTTTTGTCTTTTCCCTTTATCAAAAAAATTGCCAGAGGGTGAGTGTACTCCAAGAGTGACAGAGAGGGAAAAAGCACCTCCCAACAGGGCACAGTCTTACCATAATTCCTTCTCTTCCATCAAGATCCTAGGCATGCAGGCATGTGTGCCCAGGATGTCTCCCAAGTTGCTTGAACCATGTGGGATCTGGCTACTTCAACCACTAGACCGCAGGGTTGGCCCAATTTAATATTCTTGGATTTGGCTGATAGTTCAGGGATTGCCATCTCTACATTATTTTCCATAGTCTGTATTTAAGTGTAGGCAACTTTAAGATTTTTGGTGAAACTTCAAGCCCAAGAAACAGAATAAAAACTGTGCACTATAGGGGCTAGCTGGTAGCATGGTAGTTAAGGTGCTAGACTCCCACATGGTCGACTGGTTCGAGTCTTGGCCTGGTGGCTTGCTTTCTCACTTTCCCTCTTTTTCTGTCCCCACCCACTCTGCTGAGTGTGCATACTCTAGAGCAAATTAAACAACTAATAATAAATGAAATTAAGTAAATATTTATTTCTAAAAATAAATAAAATTAAATAATTAAAAAAACGGTACACTATGAACTTAATATAAATTCATCATACAATGGAAATCCAACCTATTCCTCCATGAAGCACATTGGGATGGAATAAAAATGAATAAATCTATAACTGCTTAGACCATCAACATTCAGACGAATCTCAGTAGTCTTCCTTTTTCAATGTCTCCAAGAAGTCTGGGGTATACTGACAAAGAATGCTAATAGCTTTGAGACTATGGAGGTACCTATCCTACTAAGTTCCTTGTGTAGCTAGAATTTTAAATGACTTTAACCTTAGTTCTGTTAAACACTGATTCATCTTCTGTTGCTATAAAACTCATTAGGCAATTTAAATGCCTCCAACTTTTGATTTGTTTTATGGAAAACCTTCTTAATACCAAGTTTGCATATGATCGAAGTCATAGCATACATTTTAGATTGCTTTAATTATTATTACTGAATTTATTACAGGGTACGTGTGCTCACGTGAGAGAGGGAGAGAGAGAGAAAGGGAAAGCAAGCCACCAGATCCAGGACTTGAACCACAGTTAGCCATGTGGGAGTCCAGTGCCTCAACTACCATGAAACCTGCTGGCCCCACTCATAACATATTTTTAATCCAAATAAGGTCCTGGTTTGTTCACTTCCTCTAGCTAGACTCAGTGATGCTAACTTGAGTATTCGGTTAACACAATTAAAGAAAATGAAAAGACAAAGGTAGAAGTACATACACCTTCGATGTGTCACTAACTACATACACTGTATTCTTGTGGTTTCTTGTCACAAATGACTTATGTTTTTCCCTGGCTCAAACTAAAACTGCTTTTTTACTATACTGATATAAATGGATACAGGTCACCTCAAAAAGCTGACTCCCAACTACAGTTTGTACTTTTCTTAGAGACATTCCAAGAATAGTTTTTAAATGTGTTTATATAAATTTATAATATTTAAAGCAAAAAAGATAATATATAATTAACGCTAAATTGCTGGAATCAAAATCCTTGTAAGGTTTTTTGCCAATGCTTTTTAAACTATAATGAGAAGACTACCTTCATGAGAAGGACCTAGACGCTGATTAAAAAAGATTCCAAAGCTGGCAGGTGGCATCATGGTTGGGTGCTGGAGTCCCACACAGCTAACCATGGTTCAAGTCCTAGACCTGGTTTCTCACTTTCCCTCTCTGTTTCTCTTCTGGTCAAATTAAATAATTAATAAAAATAAATCAAATTAAATAGAATTAATTCTTAAAAAAAAAAGATTCCTGTTCTGTACCTAAATTTGGAATTCCAAGGTGGGCCCAGAAATGTGTGGTTTTTAAAAAAGATTTTTGTCACAGGGTGAGTATGCTTGTCAGAGAAAAAGAGAGAGACACAGAAAGGGAGGAAAAGTGAGAAGTGAGATTGTGATGGCTATATCACCATCCCTGCTCCTCCATTATCCTCTCAGGATTTTAAGCATACATGTACAATGTCTTTTAAGCCACTGGATCTGGGGCTCTAACCACAGAGTTGGATGCATGGGATCCAATGCCTTAACCACCATGCTAACTGCTGGACCTAGCAACGTGCATTTTATTATTATTATGGTTTTTGCTACTGGGCATGTGTGCCTGCCAGAGAGACAGAAAGTGAGAAATTATCCCCCAGAGGGATGGCCATGCTGCAATCCCTTTCCTTCCAATCTCCTCTTCGGATTTTGGACACGTATGCACATGCCCAGCATGAGATTTAAGCCGTGGGGTCCAGGACTCAAACCATGGCTGACTACATGGGATTCCAGTGACATATCCATTATTCATCTGCTGGCCCCCCAAATGTGCATTTTAAATAAGCTCTTCTGGTGATTTTTAAGCAGCTTGTTAAAAATTGCTAGTCTAGGGACCAGCAGTTGGCATAATGGCTATGTCGCTGGACTCCCATGTATTCGACTGCGGTTTGAGTCCCGGACCAGGTGGCTTAAAACTCACGCTGGGCGCGTGTGTGTGCGTGCCCAAGATCCCGAGAGGAGAATGGAGGAGAAGGGATTGTGGCATGGCCATCAGCCCTGGGGGATGATTTCTCACTTTCTGTCTCTCTGTCTATCTGGCGAGTACACGTGCCCTATAGCAAAAACCTTTAAAAAAAAAAAAATGCTAGTCTAGCCAATAGTGACATGAACCTGAGGACTGCCAGTTGACAGTGTTTCATGCTTAGCCTGTGTCCTGATCTTGGCCAGCCAGTGTGCAAATGTGTGCTGAATAGTGGGTGACTTCTAATCCAGCTCTGGCGCTGGAAAAACCACACGGTACTGTGCATTAGTAGGTCAGGGCCATCATTTTCACAGAAAAGGGCCGTATACTCATTTTCACTTCTTTAACCTTTCTGACGGGGTTAATCCATCTATAAATTAATCAGAGTAGGAAAAAACCCACAACAAACCTACTAACCACAGGGAAGTAGATAGGTGCCAAGATAAAGCAAACCAGAGCAGGAGGTCAAGAGAATTCCTGGTCCCAGAGTTGACTTTGCCATTAACATGGCCAACTCACTTAACTTTTCTCCATCTAAGTTGACTCTAAATATTTTCCTCATTTCCAAAGATTTTTTTTTTCTGGAGGAAAAAAATGCTGATTTTGGAGAATTTTGTTTTTAAAGGTATTATCTGAGATGAAGACAAGGAATAAAATGTGGAGCTAAAATCAGGGCAAACATCTCTAATCCACTTAATAGCTTCTTTACAATTAATATTCATTGCAGGTCTGAATCCAATTATTCAGCAAAAAGCAGCATGAGATCACCTTCTAACATCTCTCCAGCTCCTTTGGGGTAGGTAAAAAGTGCTTTTCGTGGTGGAGCAAGGTCCGAGACACTGAAACCAGAGCCAGTGACAGAACTGCCACTGACCCCGCCAGCTGAGGAGGATGATGAAGAAGCAGCCATCTCCTCTCTAGCAGAATCTCGCTTCGCTACGGAGAAAGAAAAACAGTAACTGGCAAGTTCATGGAAGTGAGATGGACAACATTTATTCTAGCTGCCATAAGAAAAAGCATTCAGTTCTGTAAATAATTAGCTCCTCTTTTTTCTACTCTCTCAATTCTGTCTTAGAAATGTCTTAGGGCAAAATGTCACTTAGGTTTTGTTTTGTTTTTTAAAAAAAGCTTATTCATGATAGGGGCTCACATATGTGTACACCCACCCATGCACAGAGAAGCAGCTTCGACAGGGTACTGTCATACTACAATCTCCTTCCCCTAGACCTCCAGCTGATCAGGATCCTGGGTATGTGTGTGCACCTGGTGTGTTTCAGGTTGACAAGGCTAGGGACCCCAACCCTCAGTCAGCCACATGACCTCTAGCACTGCAGTCCAGTACACACCTACACTAGGTCTTACTCAAGTTTTAAAGTGATTTTTTAATTTTTAAAATTTTTGCTATAGAGTGCATGTACTTGCCATGGAGAGAGACAGAGAGGAGGGGAAGTGAGAAGTCACTCCTTTGGGGGGAATGGACACACCACAATCCCTTCTCTAGTCTCTTGGGACTTTGGGCATGCATTCACATATGCCCAGTCTGGTTCTCAAGCCACTAGGTCCAGGACTTGAATGGTGCAGTCAGCTATGTAGAGCCTCCACACCACCTGCTGGCCCCAAAGTGAAAATGTGTTTTAAAACAGGACCAGACAGTGGCATAGCAGTAAGACTGTGAGGCAATTCAAATGGGAGGGGAAGGTTCCTGGTTCAAGTGCAGAGACTCATTAAGTGCACTGGGCACACAAGCTTGCCCAGGGCTAGCTGACAGCCAGGGGCAGATCACGGTGCTGGGAACCAGTTGAGGGTGCTGTCTTGTCTTTTGTTCATGGAAGAAAGAAGGAAACTTAAAAAAAAAAAGAAAATATGTTTAAGAATAGGTTTTCCTACTTAAAACACTTTTTCTTACCATTAGCAAACTATTTATGCTGCCTGGGATTGATTGTGGGCAGTTTATGAGTTATGGAGGGGTAATATGGCAGAGCCAAGATAGAAATTTGACCGAGGAAATAAATTATGGGGATGAAACAATCATGCTCCATAGGACAGTTTGTTTTGGATACAACGTAACCGTTATAAAATTTTCCAAATAAAATTCCAGAATAACATTGTGCTCTGTTTCCAAGAAAATAGATTAGATTGGTCCTTTCATTAGACAAATGTGGAGGAGGGAGCAGGTGGTGTGGTGGTTAAGGCAATGGATGCCCCCACATGGCCCACCACAGTTCGAGACCTGGATCTGGCAGTTTGCTTTCTCACCTTTCCTCTCTCTCTTTCTCTCCCTGGTCAAATGAAAATAAATGAATAAATAAATAATTTTAAAAATGTGGAGGCGTACTGGTGGCACAGTTGTAACATAACACTCCATGATGCTGGACCCATGTGGCGAGGTCCCAGGTTTGTATCCCAAGGTCTCCCTGTACATGCTGGCATGTGTATGTGTGCTAGTGACTGGGCTGGCTAAGCATGGGGAACACCGTGGGGTGGGGACCCTGTCAGGGGTGCACCTGTGTCTGTCTCTCACAGGGAAGAAATAATAAACTTAAAAAAAAATGTTTTCACCTGAATGTAATACCAAAACTTATCACTTGGTGGCATCCCCAAACTGGAACAAAACAATATAGGAAATGATCTTGGACATCATGGCTTATGAATATGGCAGCTGAGTGTTTAATCCTGTGTCATATAAAAAGATTCAAATGTAAACAAGAAAATCTATACTAAATACGTGACTCTTTACAAAAATTCAAAGTAAAAATGTTCTCTGTGACACAGATGCTCTAATGAACAGACTTAAAAAGAAAAAAAAAATTCTACCACTGTGATACTAGAACTTTTCTATCATGATAGATCTTTTTTTTTTTTTTAAAGGGAGACTTTTGCTATAGGGAATGTGTGCTCACTAGAGAGACAAAGAGAGACAGAAAGCAAGAAATCACTCCCCAGGGGGATGGCCATACCACAGTCCCTTCGCCCTCATTTTCCTCTCAGGATTTTGGGCACATATGCACACATGCCCAGTGTGATTTTTAAGTCTCCAGGTCTGGGACTTGAACTGTGATTGGCCATGCAAAAGTCTCACAACCATTATGCCATCTGCTGGTCCTCCACGATGGAAATATTCTAATGTTCTATTTTTGCATTGCCAAAAATGGTAGCCACTAGTCTCATATTATGGCTATAAATTAGAGTGAATGAAAATCTACTGTTTAATGTTAAAATTAAAAGAGCCACATGTGGTTAGTGGTTACTATACTGAATAGTGCCATCTTAGCATTTAGATTTAAAACACTGGGGCCACAGGTAGTAGGTGGCATGGTAGTTAAGGCAGCTGGATCCCACATGGGTGACTGTGCTCTGAGTCCTGGACCTGACAGCTTGAGAAACACACCAGGTACATGTGCATATGTGTCCAAAATCCTAAAAGGTGAAAGGACTGTAGTATGGCCAACCCCGTGGGACGTGCTCTCTCACTTTCCCTCTATGTTTCTGGCATGCTCATGCACCCCATAACCAAAAAAGAAAAAAGAAAAAAGAAAAAAGAAAGAAACACAGGCAAGCTGGTGGCACATGGTTAAAGCAGCCTACCATATGGTTTGAATTCCAGCCCTGGCAGCTTGAAAAACACACCAGGCATGTGTGTGCATGCCTCAAATCCTGACAGGACAGAGAAAAGGAGGGGAAGGGACTGCCCCTTGTGGGCAGCTTCTGGGAAAAGGGACTGTTTTTCTACCCTCAAGACCTAGCACAGAGCCTGGATCAGTGTTTCCTGGATGAACCAATGATGAATAAATGACAAAACATAGGGCTAACAGCTCAGCAGAAGCTATGTAACCAATAAACAATCTTGGTGTCCTGAGGCTGGCCCCTTACTATTTCTTTTCCTTCCTCACTACACAGATCAATTTTACACAACTCCCACCAGGTTGCCAGGACTCATAGGCCCTTGTTAAATTTTGAATAAAATATTAACAAAGAATCCTGGGCTCATTCCTATCTGGAAAACAGGGGTTACTGGTAGAAGAGCTTCTCATAGAATAGCAATGATATCACCATGGCTTTGTCTGCAATGAGATGATCGAACGTTTATTCCATGTACAACAGGTGCGACCTCGCACTCATTAGCTATTTTCCTTCCTAAAAGATATCCGCATGTTTTCTTAAAAAAGATCCTTCCTTAAAAAAGAAAAGTCTCATCAAAAGGGGCCTGCAGATGGCAAGATGATTAAGTTGCTGGACTCCCACATAGCCAAAAGCGGATGAAGTCCCAGACCCGGGGAGAGGGGGGCTTGAAAACCACACCAGATGTGTGCACATACAAGTCCAAAATCCCAGGAGGAAAATGAAGGGACTGCAGAGTGGTCATTCCCACCCCACCCCGCCCGGGGTGATTTTTCACTTTCCCTCTCTTTCTCCAACGAGCACAGGCGCCCTACGGCAAAAACTTAAAAAAAAAAAATCACAGACACTCCAGACCAGTCCAAGGGCAAATTATTTACATTTAACTCCATCATTATATTCCATCATCAACACATTGTTACACTTAAATAGTTAGGATACAATCAGATCACCTAGATGGAGCAGCTAAAGCCCGG